AGTCTTATTGCTGGCGGTGATACCCCTTGCTTCCAGAAGATCCTTTAAAGTGGATCGCTTTAATGTGGTGTAATCGATCTTCATCCATGACCCATTGGTGCTGTTGCCTTTCCTGGTACTTGTTCCTCTGTGAGTCTGGATCCCGACACTGCCAACCAATGTAGAGGAGAGCTGATTTCCCACAGCCTATTTCCGCCGGTATCCTAGAATGGTTCAGGAACAAGTAGTAAATCCAGTAGGGTAACAAGCACAATCAGCAAGGCAATCCAGTAATATCCCATCACCTTTCCCAATAGCTGGACGACACACAGGATCAGGAGTAGAACTGAACTACCTTTTAATCACACAACCCCTGCTTTTATGCAATGCTCCCGTGCAAGGGAGCCACCCACAATAATTAGTACATTAACCAATAAAGTACAAGGTACAACCCACATATCTCCTCCCATTAGCTTATCTGTTAACAGAATTAAAATGTACATATTTTCCTCAAGTTCTAGATGTACCCCAAATACATAGGTTACACCCCTGGTATCCCCTGAAGCATGGCTTTCCAGCCCAAACCAGTTCCAACTAGTCTGTCAGTGTGCCTGGGACAACGCCCTGCTGGAGAACAATGGCATAGGAAACGGGGGAGGGGTACACCTTCCTATACACAGTCTAATAGAAGTCCATACTAAAACCTTTTATGTTCAAATAAAAAATTATGAAGGAAATGTGCTGGACAGCCAGAGGGGTTCTGCTACACTGCTCCCCCTTGCCCACAAGCTGGCATACACAGTCTGATCCACAATAATTAGTACATTAACCAATAAAGTACAAGGTACAACCCACATATCTCCTTCCATTAGCTTATCTGTTAACAGAATTAAAATGTACATATTTTTCCCCAAGTTCTAGATGTACCCCAAATACATAGGTTACACCCCTAAAGGTGGTATCCCCTGATAGCACTGATCTGGCTGAATAACATTCAAAAATCACCCAGATCGGACCAGGGGTTCGGGAGTTATGGGGGTTAAAAAGTTAGGTTGAGTTCCCTTAAGGACCACTAAAGCATGGCTTTCCAGCCCAAACCAGTTCCAACTAGTCTGGCAGCAGGGCCGCCATCAGGGGGTGACAACTGTGACTGTTGTCACGAGCCAGGCGGCCCTGGGGGGCCCGGACCCCACTTTCCCTTTCTGCACACATAGATAGCGAATATCACGATCTATGTGAGCAGCCGCGGGCCCCCCGGCTCCCTGTTATCGCAGAGGGGGCCCAGGCAGCACACAGCTTCTCCTCCTCTCTTCTAATAACTCTTGCGAGATCTGCGGAGCGTTGCCATGGTAACCGGGTCTCGCAAGAGTTATTAGAAGAGAGGAGAAGCTGTGTGCTGCCTGGGCCCCCTCTGTGGTAACAGGGAGCCGGGGTGCCCCCCACCGGACCTCCACGGATGGAATCTCCCCCCTCCCTGGACACATTTATGTGAAAATGCCCCTTCCTCCCCCCCCCCAGATCACACATTTACACACACTGCATACACTAACACAACACACACACACACTGCATACACTAACAAAGCACACACACTCTGCATCCGCTACACACTAACACACACTCTGCATCCGCTACACACTAACACACTCTGCATTCACTACACATTAACACACTCTCTGCATTCACTACACTAACACACACACACTACATTCATTACACTGCAACACTCTGCATTCACTACACACTAACACACTCTGCATTCATTACACACTAACACACACTCTGGATTCACTATACTGACACACACTCTGGATTCACTATACTGACACACACTCTGCATTAACTGTACACACAGCATCCACTACACAAACATCCTGTATTCACAGTACACACACTACATCCACCACAAATTGAAACACTCTGCATTCACTATACACAGACACTGCGTCTAATACACACACTACAGACACTGCATCCACTAAACACATTTCATCTAGTACATACAAACACTACATCCACTACACAAACACACACTACATCACTGTACACACACTACATCCACTACTCAAATACACTCTGCGTTCACTATACACACTGCATCCGCTACACAAACACAAACTCTGCATTCACTGCACAAACAGTATCTAATACACACAAACACTACATCTATTACACACATTCTAATTCACTTCCACTATACGCGCCACATTCAGTCCTGCATCATTGTGGGGGGGGGGGGAGGGGCACAGACTTGTGCTTTGTCATGGGCCCCAAAATTTCTGATGGCGGCCCTGTCTGGCAGTGTGCCTGAGACAACGCCCTGCAGGAAAACAATGGGACAGGAAACGGGGGAGGGGTACATCTTCCTATACACAATCTATACAGTCTAATAGAAGTCCATACTAAAACCTTTTATGTTCAAATAAAAAATTATGAAGGAAAAGTGTTGGACAGCCAGAGGGGTTCTGCTACAGTCCAAACAAACATGTTTCCAAGGCCTCCGAATATCTATATTAGGTGCTAGGTAACCCCATTGTAAGGAAACCAAGTGTATTTAAACCTCATTCGGTAGTTTCCTCCCAAACCGCCAGAACCTTAGTGATTATAGCCTCTGTTCGGTAGATAAAGTAGGCGAACCATATAGTAATCCCAATAGCGTCACAAGATGATTCCCTTAGTGAAACACACGAATCTTTGCCCAATAACTGGAATACCCCTTTATGCTTGGAGTATCCCCACAAATAACATGTCCCCTGATAGCCCTGATCTGGGTGACCAGCATATCCAAATTTCACCCAGATCGGTTCAGGGGTTCTCAAAAACTATGGAGGTCTTCATTCCATGAGTTTGGTGGGTTTTGCCGGTCACTTTACAAAAAGGAGAAAAGCAAAAAAAGTACAGTTTTGCATGCCTAACACCATAGTGTTCCTTCCTAAATTGTCGGATACAGTGTAATACTTAGAATTCTCTTGAAGTTATATTGGCTGGTAACCTGGATGGGACAGGAGATAATTAGCGGGTGATGAGATGATGATGGGACTGTTGTAGTTAAAATGAATATATTTAAAAAAAAAAAAAAAAGTTTACATAAAGTATTGAAGGGATGTAGATTTTTAAATGAAGTATATGTAAAACAATTAGAAAATGTCATCCCTACCTTTACAATATGAAAGGATCCTTAAGCCATATACATAGACCTTGGGTCTGACCTTTATTGAGTCTAATGAGGTTACTGCTCTGTGAAGCAGGGAAGACCATAGACACTGTATAGATGGTTTCAAACACTGTCTGACCCAAGGTGTATGTATATGGCTGACGGATCTGGTAATTTACTAAAGGTAGAAATAAGATTTTTCAATTTATTAATTTTTTTTATAGATATGTAAAAGGACACTATAGTCACTACAACAACTACAGCTTAAAGGACCACTCTAGGCATCCAGACCACTTCAGCTTAATGAGGTGGTCTGGGTGCCAGGTCCATCTAGGCATAACCCATTCTTTTATAAACATAGCAGTTTCAGAGAATGGGTTAAGCCTTCCCCTATTTCCTCTAGTGGCTGTCTCATTGACAGCCGCTAGAGGCGCTTGCGTGCTTCTCACTGTAATTTTCACAGTGAGAGCACGCCAGTGTCCATAGGAAAGCATTATGAATGCTTTCCTATGTGACCGGCTGAATGCGCGCGCAGCTCCTGCCGTGCGTGCACATTCAGCCGACGGGGAGGAGAAGAGGAGGATCGGAGGCAGAGAGCTCCCCGCTGGAAAAAGGTAAGTTTTTACCCCGTTCCCCCTTCCAGAGCCGGGCGGGAGGGGGACCCTGAGGGTAGGGACACCCTCAGGGCACTATAGTGCCAGGAAAACGAGTATGTTTTCTGGCACTATAGTGGTCCTTTAATGTACTGCCTGTCCCTGCAGGCTTTTTTTTTGCCTTTTTAGACATTACAGTCTAGTAACACCTCTAGTGGCTGTCACTCAACAGCCACTAGAGGTGCTTGCTGGGTAAGTGCTGTACAATGCATGGAGACGCTAAACACTCCTCACAGAGATGCATTGATTCAATCCAGCGCTATGAGGAAATGCTGGTTGGCGCAGCACGGTGGTTTCCTATGTGAAAGCAATGGATTGGCTAAGCTTATCAAATTTGATGATCTCAGCCAAGGAGGCAAAACAGGGGCATGGCCAGCCGCAAGGCGCAGGATAGAAGAGTATACTCACCTTTGATTTTGCGGAGAGGGGGGCCAGAACCTAAAATGCACATTTAGACCTGCA